GCCAGGGGGCCCGCGGGAAGCGGGGCGAGGCAGGGCCCCTCCCTCCCGGGGACGGTCGGCCTGAGAAGCCCGCGGAGGGAACCCGGGCTCGCCCGGGGCAAAGCCGGCGGAAACTCGCAGCCAGGAGCCGGGGGGCTGCTCCTGGATTCTCAGGAAGAAGGGGTGAGGCCCGGGCGGCCACCTTCTAGACCAGGCGTTTGGGGATCGGTATCAATAGGAGGCCCCAGGCCCACAGGGGGGCAGTTTTGGGGTTTTCTTAACTTTACGGAGGCATAATTAACAGACCATGACATCCATCCACGTCTAGCTTATAATGCAGTGGCCTCGTGCGGGTCTCGCCACAGCGAAGCAACGGGACCTTACTGATGCTCACCCACGTTCCCTTACCGTAAATATTCCGCCGTGTGGGACAGACCACGCTTTGTTTCTCCAGCTGATACACCTTTGAATTCCGTCCGGTTTTTGGCCGTTATGAATAACGCTACAGTGAACGTCCGCAGATAAGTTCTTGCGTGGACGTAGGTTCTCCTGTTTCATAGGACTGGAATTGCTGGATCATAAAAATTTATATTTAACTTTTTAAGAAACTGCCGAGCTCTTCCAGTGGCTGCACCATTTTCCTTTCCCACCAGCGGTCTGAGGGACCTAGTTTCTCTGTTACTGTCTCTTTTGTTGCAGCCATCCTAGGCAGCCTGAAATCGCATCTCTGCCGCTGTGGCGCAGGCCTCCAGTGACTGATGACGTGCACCTTCCTGGGCGCTCGCTCGGTATTTTATGGTTTCTCTGGAGAAGAGTCTATTCAGACCTTTGGCCCACTGGCTTCTCTTCTTACTGAGAGCTCTTTTTATGTTCTGGATACAAGTCCTGTATTACATACGCTTTGTAAATATTTTCTCCTGGTGGATGGTCTATCTTTTCATTTTCTTAAGAGTGTCTTCTGGAGGGCAGAACTCTTTAATTTTCATAAAGTCCAATTGACCACTTTCTTCTCTCATGTACCCTGCTTTTGATGCCATGTGTAAGAAATCTTTTTCCTAACCTAAAGAAAAATATGTTTTCCCCTTTCTTCTAGAAGTGGTATAGTTTCAGCCCTTACGTGTAGGACTCTCGCCCATTTGTGTTTCTTTCTTGTGTGCAACGCAAAGCAAAGGTCCAACTTTACTCACTTGCATGTGGACATCCAGGTGTCCCAATACCACTTGTTGAAAAGACCCCCCCTGAATCTACCTTTGTCAAAATTCAGTTAACCATGAACGTAAGGCTTTATTTCTGAACTGTCAATTCTGTCCCCTCAATCTATCAATCACCAGCACCACTACCTCAACTACTGTAGCTCTAGTAAGTTTAGAAACTGGAAAAGTCAGTCCTTGATTTTGTTATTTTTCAAAGTTGTATTAGCTATTTTTGAATCCTTTGCATTTCCATATAAATCTTGAGATCAGCTTACTTTTTTCTGCAGAAATAAAAGTCATCTTGGAATTTGATAGGGATTGTGTTGGATGAATTCACAGAGTTGCCATCTTAACAATATTGAGTCTTCCAATCCATGAACATGGAATCTCTTCATTTAGTTTTTTTAAATTTTTCTCAGCAACATTTTATAGCTTTCCACACACAAGTCTTGCATTTCCTTTGTTTATTTCTAAGTATTTCACTATTTTGATGTTATTGTGAATTTTCTTAATTTCAACTTGTCGATTGCTAGCATGTAGACACACAGTTGACTTTTGTATGTTGACCCTGTATCCTGTGTCCTTGAAGGACAGTGTTTTTGTGAGTTAGAGGCACCTACAGTGTAACGGAGGGAATCACAGATCCTCCGGAGCCAGGAGCTCCCCTCCCACATCCGAGAATGAGAACCACGTCACTAAAGGGCAGCACCTAACCCTTGAGCAGCTCCATTTGGAAGTTATCTAAACCGACTGAAGCCCACATCCCTGTACCTTCCACCTGCTGGTCTAGGTCTGCTCTCTGAGGTGAAGCAAACGTCTGGACTTCCCCTTCCTTGAGATGAGACTTCCTCGCCTGGCCCCTTCCCTGTGGCCCCAGAGCTCTGAGGCCGGCCAGCCCTGTCCGGCCTGTACAGTGAGGGCACAGTAGGACGGTGGGGCCATTTCCTCCGGTCACCTGGGCGCCATGGTCCTCTCCACTGCAGCCAGCACTGCACTGCTTTCTGGGTGGCCACATTACACCTTCTCCCCCAAAATATACCTTTATGTCCAAATAGATGTTATTCAGAGGTACAGTGGTGTTTCCGATGTCACGTATCCCAGTGCCTCCGGAGCGCCTGGCGGGTGGCAGAGGAGTGGAGACAGGCAGCGCAGCCCTGGGCTTCGCTCAGTACCATGTGAGCTCGGCTCTGCAGGAATTTCTCCAGCAGTGCAGGCTGTGGGCACAGCCTTTCCCAGAGAGGGCACATTCCCAGTGGTGGTGTGCAGAATGATTCCAGGAAATACCTGGGACACGGCGAAAAATAACATCAACTCAGCGAGGAAATTACTGTTTCTAAGGTCCCTTCTAAGCTCTCTGATTATGGAAAAGAGAAAGTGTTCGTGTGGGTATGTCTTTAACCCCTGGCAGTCTTCCCCCACCCTCTAGTTTCCTAAACGAAGAGCAAGCCATAATTTGATGAGCATAATTTAATAATACTTTCCTTTCCACCATATGCCTGTTAGTCATGGCAAGCGGTCCTGTTCTCCATTTATAGTGATACTATAAAGTTGTCTTTCAGAATACATGAGGGGAAATACTAGGTGAAGCACGGGTGGCCCGGGTGAAGGCGGGTGGAACGTCCCACGTGGGGGATGCCCTAGTGTGGGGCCGCCTCGGGTCTGTGGGGAACGGGGCCCGCCCCGCGCCGGCCGGTGGCCAGACGCTAACGGGTGCGGGCCCCGCAGGTGCGGCGGGCTGGGGCTGGTGCTGGCCAGCGCGGGCTTCGGCATGCTCACCGCGCCCAT